CATAGCCAGCAGCCATATCCCCCTGCAGCTCCCAGCTGGCAGCCCCCTGGAGCTCAGCAGTGTGAGCCTGGTCAGTACCTGGATGGGAGACTCCTGGGAAAGCTGAGGCTGCTGCTGGAAGAGGTGTTAGTGGAACCAATAGGGGGCGCTCACCCTGCAGTCTATGTGGGTCCTGATGCCCCAGTATAGTAAAAGGGGCACTGCACTGTAAAAAGGCGCCTCCCTTCAGATGAGACGTACTGTAAAACTGAGGTCTTGCTGTGGTCATTAAAAATCCCAGGGCGTTTCTAGAAAAGAGTAGGGATGTTACCCCGGTGTCCTGACCAAATTTCCCCCTGGCCTTTACCAGTCATGGCCTCCTAATAACCCCCATCTCTGAACTGGCTTCATCACTCTGCTCTCCTCCCCACTGAGAGCTGGTGTGTGGGGAGAGGACTGGAGCATCATCCAGGTGGGGCTGCACACTGGTGGGGGTGGAGGGGATCCCCATGACCTGTAAAGAGCTCTGGGAGGAGTGTCCAGAAAAGTGCTATATAAGTGTAAGGAATTAAATATTTAATAAGCTGAGAACACAGAGGGAGAATTCCATGTCAGCATAAAACAAGTAGAGTCAAGTGTCCGCTGTATTATTATTGTTTTCTCCACTGGCTGGATCTGAGCTTTCCAGCCCAGTCCCTCCTGGACTCACTGATGTGCCCTGAGGGGGGGTGGGGGCAGCGTTTTGGGGTTCCAGCCCCTCAGGGTGCAGTTCAAGAGCGGCGAAGGGGCGTGTGTGTGGGGGGGGGGGCTTCTGTGTTTCTCTCCTCACTGACCGGAAGGACGATATCAGGGGACCCCACGGCAGAAATGAGGGCTCCTGGGGTGACTCACTGTGATGGGGTGTTGAGGGAGCCCTGAAACCCCCAGATTAAGAAGAGCCAGGAGAGAGGGGTTTGGGCACCTGGTAGGGATGCCCCCCTCCTTGCTGAAAATCCCTGTTGGGGCTCCCCCGGGACCCCAGGACACACTGCTGCGTGCGGGGCTGCGTCTCTCGGTTGGCCTGGGAGCTCTTGGGGGATCGGAGTCACGGAGCGAGGGGATGTCTGCTCCTCCGAGGACGTGGACAGAGGAGACACTGAGCTGCTGGCCCGGCGCTCTTTAACCTCACGAGCACTGAGCACACGGACGGCAGGAACGCGTCTCAATACAGCACGAGACTCAGAGCCCTCCCGCCCTCTCTCAGCATCGTTAACACGACTGCAGCAGGCAATGACAAACTGCAAGTACAAACAGCATATGTAAAAAAAACCCTGTTTCTTTACTAGACACTCTTGGAATACAGAATGCTGATCCACGGTGAAAGCCTGCTACATAGAAAAGCTTCAGCATATTGTGCGAAAATACACGTGTGGAAAAACTGAACCTGATGTTGCTTCCATAATATCCAGAGGTCAGGATGCAGAGCGATCTGATGAGGGCAGAGACAGGTGAGGTGGTGGACTCTGATTCGATATAGTGCCCCTCGTCGGTCAGCACTGTCTCACAGACCTGGACAGCTTCCCATCCAGAGAGAGTTAATTCTCTCTACAACCCGACCTCTCCAACTGGATGAGATCCCTTAATGAAGAGACAGGTATAAACGAGAGGAGTCCATTCTGCCCCTCTAGCCTGTCTGTTAGTAAATCATTAATGATCTGTGCCTTGGAAGAAGCCAGAGTATCAGCTTCAACACTTTGGCTGGGGGGGGCTTGTTCCCCACTCCCACCACCCTTTGGGTAAAGAAGTGCCCTCTGATCTTGATTTAAAAATCACTTCCCCGGCGTGGCTGCTTGTGTCCTCTGCTGCGTGTATCTTCTGCGTTCCTTTTTCTGAGCAAGCGACCGAAACAAAATGCATTACGAGCAAAAGACTGGGGGGGGAGACAGACGATCGTCCTCCTGCTTGACTTCAGGAATAGAGCAGGGGATTCCCTGGAGCTTGGAAAGAAACACCACTCAAGGCTTTGAAAAGTCACCCTGTCACTTATAAACGTCTGCACGGGCAGGAGCTGAGAGCCCCCTGTGTTGGATGTGACTCAGTGAATCAGGAGTCATGGGGGTTCACTCAGGGCACACAGGCGAACCCCGGTCTCTCCGCTGCTCGGCGGGAATTACAGCTTGGCACTGGGCGTCACTCAGCTGGGTGTGGAAGCAGGATGGCCGTCTCTGGTCCTGTTGTAAACCTTTTCCGGTGTGGCCTGAAACACCAGAAACGAGCACCCTGCCGCCACACTGTTAGCACAGTTCTCTGTGGTGTCCCAGATAGGAGCCTGAAGTCCCACCAGAGGAGGGATCACAGCTGTCTGCTGTTTCACACCGATGGCAGCTCTCCCATGATGCTGTGAGGGAGGCCACCTCAAGCCCTATGACTTCATTTCCTGCCTTCAGCTGAAAACCCCAAGGGAGCTTGGTCCCTGCTGCCAGCATCAGTCTTCTGGGCTCTTTATAGCAGGGCTGACTATCCAAATAAAATAATAATAAAAAAAGAACAAGTTCATATCTTTGCACCTCAGAGTTTCATGATGTGGGGTGGCCTGGGTGTCTTTCTTCTTACTCCTCCATCATCTTGTGCTCCATATTCCTGAAAGAGCAAAAACAGTCTTTGAAGTTTACAAAACCAAAACTTTGATTTCAGACAAATGCCCAAATTTTCGTAGAGTTTTGAATCCGTGGAAGTTGTTTGCATATTGTGTTTTTAAGTTTAAAAACCCTGGTCCCACTCAGTCAGAGTAGTGATCGGTCAGCCAATCGAAAACATCAAAGCGGCACTCAGGGGTGCCTTTTTATTGGACGGAACCACCTGCTCGTCACCCAATAGGAACAAAGGATCCAGTAACTGGACTCTGATTGGTGGGTGCCGCTACTGATAGAATCTGTGTGTTAAGAGTTTTTCAGATCTCAGCAAGCCTGCTGGTCCTGCTCCCTGAATGAGAATCGTGCAAAATTCTACCTCACATCAAACTGAGGTAATGCTAATTTCTAGATATAAGGTGGCAAAGCCTGAAATATGAAAATGTTGATACACATAATAAAGAAGTGTCTCTGGTTCTCTATATGAAATGGGAGTATTGTATTTTGTAAACAAGTTAGAAATTATAAATATCAATATTCCAGGTGGGATAAGATATTACCTGATGATTATTTTCCTTTAGCATTACCTTTAGTTAAAACCTTGCACTACAGCAGACAATCCAGCTACGAAGTCTTGTCCCTGACAGCTTGTGATCTGATCACTGACTTAATCTCAGCGAAGCAAAAAACATAGATTCCCATGAGGTCCCGGGACGGACGCAGGCATGATGGGACCTGTTGAGACCGATCCCATCACACTGCTGTTTGCACACAGCCCTGTACCTCCCGGGCCTCGCCAGGGAGCCTCTGGACACACCTCAGCTCCTGCTTCAGCCTCTGCAGCTTGTCTTCCAGTCGCGCGTTTACGACCTTCAGAGGGACGTCAGGTACAAACCAGGCCGCTATGAACTTGAAGATGACGGCAATGTGCTGCACAGACAGGAAGAGAGCAGGAAGAAAGCAATCAAGGTACGGTTTCCACTTTGCAGCTCAATGTACTGCTTGCAGGAGAAGGCCGGAGCTCTGTTTGTGGTGCAGAGAGTGTGCAGTATTTCACTGTCTGTGAACATGTGGCCCTGAAGCTGCAAACCCACAGCTGAGAGACCGAGTGACTCAGGCCACGCAGAACATCCTTCAAGCCTTCATCACTTCGACAGGTTTAGGAACACATTGAGCATATATCCACCCCTACGACCAGGAAGGTCAACAAACAGAAGCTAAAAAAAAGCAACGCCTAAGCAGATCACATAGAAAATACGATCTAGGCCATGTGCAGTAGTTTTATTTCCAGTAGACAGCAGGGTACTTTGGCAATCTGCCCCCATGCTTGTGCACATACATCTTACACACAGCTGGCCAG